ATATATATCTGCCTAGTGCTTCCCGCGCATGCCATGAACATGATATCAACGACCGAACAACCCCGCATTGAAGAACGTCAAGTGGAATGAGAAACAAAACAAACCCTATACCATATATATATATATAGAGTATCATAGATACTGTACATACAAGTCACTTACTCTTCCGCATCACTCTCTCTCTCTCTCACTTGCACACAGAAAGCTGTGTATATGAGACACTCACTCTCACGCCCAAATTCGTGTGCCCAAGCAAACGTATGTGAACACACACACACACACACACAACTGCAGACAGAGAGTGAGGGAGTGGCCCCGCCTGCTGGAATGCGGAGAAGAGTAGCGCGACTGCCGGCTACAGTGGCGAGCGCAGGTCCGACAGTGAGCACGTCACCGTCGTGCAGCTGTCGTCTTTACTACCCTCACTCCAACTCACGGGGCCAACGTGGCTGTTATGCGTGTTGTCAGCCTGCGCCTGCGCCCGCTCCCGCTCTGTCCGCAGCCAAGACAAAATAAAGGCCACTGGCTTATCTGGCTGCTCACGCAACAAGGCCTCCGAGAGAGCATCGAAAATCGCCGGGATCCCTGCGGTGTAAAAGTAGTTTCGAAGATCCGTGTAGTAGTTCGTGCTGCCACCGCCGCCGCCGCTGCTGCTGCTATTTCTATCCACAAGCTCTGGGGCCTGCCCAGAGGGACCTGTCTGCCGCCGCTGCTCCTTTCCGTTGAGGCGCGCTTGCTGTCCCTCGCCCGCCTCAGTTCCCACGGCCAGCGGCCTGGGTGAGAGAGACGGCATTCAGGCAGAGGCCCACACCCACACCCACACGCACGCGGGAAGGGAAGGCGAGCCCGAGCGTATTCCCCTTCTTCGTGGTTCCACTGACTGCGTCGACGGGAGGCTGACGGCGCCTTCTCTTTGCCTTGCCCCACACACGCTTCTCTTGGTTTATTGTCCTTCCTTCACGCAACCGCCGTGCTGGAGCCAGACGTCCCTCCAAAAGGTGGATGTCGCTCTCGCGTGTGCGGCAACTAACATGTGTGGAACAGAGACGGCAGGTCGAGGCAAAAGAGGCACATCCATGCAGGCACGCAGGCGAAGGGAGAGCCGCAGGAATATACGCGTGGCAGAAAGACAACAAGTGCGCAATCGCCCCAATGTCTCGAGAGGAAGGGGTTCGCGACAAACGCTTTGGGCGCAGAGGCTTAACGAGCGTGTGCATGTGTGAGAGAGAAACACACGCACACACACACATGCGCACGCAGATAGAAATGGCAGAAGACTGCCCTGGGAGATTATCTTCGCCGCGGAACAACACCAACGCACCACAGCGGCGGTCGTCGCGGGCGGTGGTGGTCGTGTTGTGACAGTACGCAAAGCGGAGAGGAGACAACACACAAAGAAAAAACAAAACAAAACAAAACTAAAAAAGGGTGAAAGATGAATTAAAACAACGGGAAAAGGAAAAAACAAAACAAAACACACATTAAGTTTCCTAATAATTGCGTGCGTCTGTGCATTTAACGTGGGGCTGTGATTGGGGGAACGATTTCTTCTACACCGCCGCCCCCACCAGCACCAACAACCACCAACGGCGTAACTGCAAGCCCACACAGAGGGCACGTGCACACACACACACACACACCGCACACACACAGAGAGAAAAAAAACGGCAAAGTGCAGCTCCTCGCCCACCGCTACGTAGCGGTGGGCCCTCTTGCTCTCCTCCCTCCACCCCTCCCAGCTTCCTCCTTTTCCTCGACATTCGTGCATTTATTTTACCTCATCCTAACGCATCCTGATTTGTTTTTACTTCCTCGCTCGTTTTTTTTTTACTCCTCCTCTCTATTTACTTTTCAAGCTTATTTTATTGTCTATATTTTGCCTCCTCGTGCCTCTGCATTGGGGGAGGAACGGGAAAAGGCGTGGAGGGGCGGGGGCCGCGCGCGCAGATCCCTCCTCCCCCAAAGGCCCTCACGCCACGCTGCCCAGCCGGTTTGCGTCTGAGAGCTCCCGCATTTAGGTGCGGAGCGCAGAATGCGCGGGTGCACGTCGTAGAGGGGGAGCTGCACTGCTTGGCCGCGGCATTTCACCCACCGGCGCCTGCACTTCCCTGCGCTCCCTTCCCGCTCCCAAATACACACTCTCTCTCTCTCACACACACACACTCACACGTTTCCCGACGCTTTACAAAGGGGTGATCAAACAATACATCTCGTGCCTCTATGGGTTCTATTGGATGGGCCACTTCCTCCCTCCTCTCGCGCTCCCTCCTGCACGAGGAAAAAGGAAGGCCACAAGCGCTAAAGCGAGGCGGGAAAATAACAATCATAAATGATATGAAAAGAAGGGGGGGGGGGAACGAAAGCCCAAGTAAACCACATAAAAGTAGATATATAAACTTAGCACGAATTAAGTCTTCCAATTCTGCAATATTATGTGTGCGGGTGTGGATCCTCAGAGCGTGCCCGTGCCAGTGGGAGGCGCGGACGCTTGTGCTGGCCTCTCCTCGTCCCCATCTGTCGTCGTGCGTCACTAGAAGTCATCGTCAAACTTCAGCCCACATGTATGGCTCTCGATAAACATGCGCACAAGCATACGCTGGGAGTTCTGGACGCGTCCCAGCTCGGCGCGACGCAGGCCTTCACTCAGCTGCGACAGGGCCTCCTCCGAAGTAGAGGCGGGGCCGCGGAGCGCCTCCCAGCCCCCGGCTGTTCGCAGCACGTCGTTGTCAAGGATTAAAAACGTCGGGATGATCTCTACCCCAAAAAATTCAAACAGCGGGGTGGCGAGGTCCATGTCAGCCTTCACGGCACACGTGAGATTGCTGGGAAAGTCCTCCTTCATCATGGCCGGAAGGGCGTTTACAATCCGCATGCACGGCGGACACCAGGAGGCGCCAAAGTAGATGAGGGTGCGGGTGCCGGCGACGGCCGCGGTGGCGCCTTCCGGGAAGAGCGCCTTTGCACACACCGTACGAAGAAAGTGTGTCACCGTGTAAACTGGCGTCAGCAACGACGCCGAGTGCAACTGATCCAATGTCGTGAGCTCCTTCACCACCAAAGGCCACCCGCGATGGCGTGCGCCGGTCACTGCCATCTGAAAATTGCCCTGTTTGTCGTTTTTATGCGCGCCACCGGTCTGCCTCTCCACTTTGCGGCAGTACTCATCCGCCGGCCCGCCGTCGGCGCGCCACATGACCAAGGCAGGGAGAGTGAGTACCTCGCCCTCCTCGGGGTGAGCAACATTCACAGATTTCCCACCGGCGTCCCCAGTTTTTTCAGGCGGTGCGGGGTCGGGGGATGCAGCCCCGCCCGGGTTCAAAACCTCGCCCACGCGAAGCAGCGAACTCACACGCTGCAGGGCATGTTCAATGTTTTGGGGCCCCTGTGTGCTAAGCGAGAGGAGGGGGTCGGTATGGAACAACCGCAAGAGACCGGCCGCATCATCCTGCTCCTCGTGCGTCTCCGCGCCCACTTCCTCATATTCGCACGGCGGCAACTCGCCAAGGTCGAGGCGGAAGATGCGGCACTGCGAGAGCCCTTCCGTTGCGTGCTGCAGCGCCACAGTCCTGCCCCCCTGCCCGTTCTGCAGGACAATAAGCACCGTCTCACCCGCCCGCAACTGCAGCTGCGGGGGCGCCGAGGCAGATGCCGCCAACACCCCCGAACTTTGCGGAGGAAGCGGGGCGGCGTCAAGGAGTTCTTCCAGTTGCTGCACCGAGTACAACGTTGTGACCGCGCCGACGGTGTGGGGCACGCGGCGGCGCTCGTGCACCGCATCCAGGGGTTGGTTTGAAGAAGGCACAAGTTTGCATTGCGCGCCCGCACCGCGCCTGCCACGCGCCGCCACTTCCAGCCGCGCCCGTGTGGGGCTGGTGAAAAGCATCAGATCCTCAACGTCGGCTTCGCTCGCCTCCGCCTCGCCCTTCTCACTGTCGTCGTCGCCGCTGTCGGGTGAAACACCGTTCTCGGAGTGCTGCTGCTGCTGCTGCTGCTGCTCCCCGTCAAATTCCGCGAACAGCTTGTGGAGGGCCGCGGTGCCGTCGCCGTCGCCGTCCAGGCGTGGCTTCTTCAGCGCGCTGTCAGTTTCCCCCACCAGCGTCACCGCCTCGCGCTGCGCCGTTAGGGCGGCGCTTTCCGGCTCCTTTCGTGCCCGCTTTTCCGCCGAATACCCCATCTGTCGGCTGTCTCTCGTGTCACCGCGGCGTGGCTCCTCCGCCGCACCGGTTTTTCCTTTTTTTTTTTTTGCTTCCTCGCCGTCCCCTTCCCGCAGCTGCCGCCGGTCCAGTGAAGTTGCTGCGCCCGCCGCCTTCGAGTGTCCTCGCCGCCTCGCCGTGCGTCGTCCCCCCGCTCTGCCGCAGGCAAGCGCCCGACGCAGCCACACACACACACACACACGCAGGCAGAGAGACAAAAAGAGAAAAAAGAAACAGAGACGGAGGATCGTTTGCGGGAGGGGGGAAGAGGGGGGAGACGCGACGCCCGCGCCAGGCGGCGCCCGACGCACGTGAAACACGCAAAGAGGCAGCAGCAAGAGCAGCAACAAATAAAAAACACGCGCAACCGATTTTTTTTTCTTCTAAAAGAAGAAGGAGAGAAGAACAACAACGACGACGACAACAACAACAAAAAAAAAGAAGAAATAAACAACAACAACAAAACAAAAAAAAGTAGTAAAGCGAGTGGAGCAAACAAACAAAACAAATTGCGAATACCACCCGCCTCGGCCTCCCGCAGGGGCAGCGGGCAAACACACAGACGACACACACACACACACACACAAATGTACAGATCAACATAAATGTTACTGGGAGTGCGGGGAAAGGCGCGTTTGGCGGGGAACGGAGGAGCGAAAAGGCGCAAACACAAGCACGCAGGCGAATGAAGAGAAAGTGAGGGACGCATGCGCGCATATGCACCCAAGTATTACAGCGCGAATGTGCAGCTGCGCGCATGCGTGGGCGCACGTGTAAGAAAATGAGTGCGTCACAAGAAATGCGGGGCCCCGCAGGCGTGCACGGACGGGCAGAGACGGCGGCGGAGTTCGAATAAAAGAGAAAGAAAGAAGAGAAAACGCGAAATCAGCCGGCCGCTGCGTGTACGTGGGTGGGGCGTCTGACGCCCACACTCTCTCGCTCTCATTGCTTCTCCTTTTTTTTTCTTTGCTTAATCCGAACTCCGCCGCCGTCGTCATCTCACAATATCCGTCGGCTTCAGACACGCGAGGGGCCTCCTCCGCACCCCGGCGGCGGCGGCGGCGGGGGACCCAAACCACAAGTCAAGCAAAGAAAAACAACAACAAAAGAACTCGTCGTGAGGAACCCCCCAAGCACAGACACACGGAGGAAAACAAAAAACAAAAAA